AAATAATAACTTGAACAGTAAGCCAAATGCTACATGTAACTAATACCCCCTCTCCTACTTAAACCAGAACTGTAAGCTAAAGGCTAACTAAGGCAAAGCATTGCAAAGCGATCCATAGTCTCCCACAAGTAATTATTTCAGTAAATAGGTCACTGACATACCTTCAGTAAGAAAGAAGAGTTATCAAGACAAATATTTTAAACAAATTGGCCATAACTCCTTAAAAAGGGTCGAAATGAAAAATACTACCCTGATGCACCATATCAGGGAGTAATTACCGTGTCTGTAAACTTTCATTTAAATCGGCCCAGTGGTTTATGAGGCAGTCAAACGGTTTTTTCATCTCCTATTTAAAGTGTAGGAATGAAAACATACTACTTGGATGCACAATATCAGTGGGCAGTTACCATATCTGTAAGCTTCCGTTAAAATTGGCTCCATAGTTTTGGAGGAGTTGTCTGGTCAAGTATTTTTTAACAAAGGGCCATTACTCCGTAAAAAATGGGTAGGATTGAATAAAACAAAATACCTGGATGCACAACAACAGGTGGTAGTTTATCATACCTGGAATCTTTCGTTGATTTTGTCCATTACTTTAGAAGGAGTTTTCCGGACAAACTTTTTCTACGGACGGACGGATGGACAGACACTCTGATTCAAGTATACCCCTAACTGCGTTGCGGGGGAATAATAAAGTGTATACTAGTTTTACTATTAAGATTATTTTATTGTTTTTATGTAATTGCATATCTTTGTCTATAACACAATCTCAACCTAAAGTAGTTATCCAGAGGAAAGGTTACATTGGCAGAATACATATTCATGAGTTATTACTGCTGCTCATATCTTTAAAACATGTGTAATATAATAAAGTGTTTTGGTATAATACAAAAACAGAAAATATATCGGTATTTACCATAATAAACATTGATAATCAAATAATCTCCATGATAATGTGAAATTGGGCATTGATCATGTCTGGCATGCTAAAAAAGTACTTTTGATATTACATAAAAATGATTCTGTAGACAGAATATATATATATGGAAAGTTTTTAAAGAAGTTTAAAATATAGACTTCTATTGTTACTATATATAGGCAAGTTGATAATGTTGATTAAATTTTAAATTTTATGAAAATTGTGCATGCCTATTTAATTAAAAGTATCACTACCCTTACTTCATTTATACCAATATGACATACCTAGTATCAAAATAACAGTAACTTTATACACTATACACTATCATAATTCATTTACAAAATAACATTCCCCTGTGACATTTATCTGTCATTTTGTTCGGATACCCCCGTCACTAAACCTGGTGTTATGCAAGGAGGTCCACTACGGTTATCAGTAGTAATTATGAATAATCATTTATGCAGTTGTTGATCATTTTTATGTATCTACATATGGCAAAAGAATAAAAGAAATCAGAGTGGGGGCCAAATGTTGACACCACCTTTCATTACTTCTTTTGGTGGCTAACCTTTTCTGATATTTGGAGTGTCTAGGTTGGTTTTTATAATAGGGTTCACATAAAGAACATTTAAATGAAATTTTGCAAGGACACGAATATACATTTCATTCATAATAGCTTTCCAAAAGAAAGTATCTTCGGTTGATACAACAAAAGGGACGGAGGGCTTGTATCGCTCACCGCAATCATGGCAGATATTTCCAAATATTGGCTCTGTCTCACAGCAAATTTGGAGGGGAGGGGCACCGATTGTTTATATATAATTAAACCCTATTGGACAAAGAATACTATATATGTATATAAAATTCGGTTTAGATCGCTTCTTCTGTATGGAACGAAAAGTATTTTAAAAATCACCTCTATTAACCTTATTGGGCCCCGCCCCTCGGTTCCCAGGGACTCACGCCCTCCTATTACAAAATACTGTGTCCCTGTTGCTTAAGGATTCGTCTAATCCAGGTTTGGTTAAAATCTTAAAGAAGGAAACCAATTTCAGATGATAAACTACTATTTCGCCTCTTGAGTCCCAACTATTTGCCCCTTTGGGACCACATCATCTGTTTATTGAAGAGTGAGTCAGTTTCGCCAAACGGTGCTCAAGAGCAAATTGTGTTAAAATCCTCCCTTTGTATACTGATTTCTTCCTATTTAACAAGCTTTTAATAACGACACTCATGCATGTACTAGCTAGGTGTAGGTCAAGGTTATTTTAAATCGTCTAAGCTTTGGTCAAGGTCCTTCGTGAAGATAGGACCTAGACCAAAATCAAGATAGATACATATCCCGTGTTGAGTCTGGCCGTGGTGGGGATAAGAGGGAGGCTCTTTAGAACAATGATGATTATCAGGGAAGCAAACGTGGCTCTCCGCCAGAGCAATAACTGCTATTGTTAATCCACACTACACACACAACACATCTACCTGTGTTCTGGGGTTTCCCGAAACACAGCCTTCGTAGACAATATGATATAACTCCCACTACACAGTAGGAATTGGTATGAATCACAATAGAATACAACAGCAAAGGCTTCCATAATCCGGACAAATACTTTTGTATTCAGGACCCGCAGTACTTTTGAATGACAATTCTAAAGAATTTCGTCATTGAAAATATAAACGAAAACATTCAAATGTATGCATAGAACATTGTTTATCTGCACAGCGGAACGAATGCCCGCATACTCTCCATCCACATCTAAGTATCAGGAGCATAAACTCTACACACATTTTGGTGTAAGCATTTATGGTGTACAACAAGAAAAAGTTAAAAATCCAAAAACCATAATGATGATATAATTGCAGCAGAGGTATATATATGTAGATTTGTGTTTAGGGTTGTCGGTGTTATTATTGGTGTCAGTTTAGTTTTCACTAACAATCGACTTTCGTTTGTAACCTGATGACGGAGGGGTGATTTGGTTTACATGGAAACAACCCGGAGCCGTGCAGTCATATTGTGGTAATCGCTGCCAAAACACGTGTACATTTCGTAAGTGAAACAGTTTGTCCACGCGTAATGCTACATGAAGCGCCGGTCCTGTTACAGGATTGAAATGTATGTTGCTTGTTTATCGTATTTATATCAATTCGGTATCAGATAGTACACAGGTTATGTCACGTCATCATTTTAAAAAAGTGCGTCAAAATGCGTTCTGTAATTACTTAATTTGAGATAATAATCAACATCGCGTATCAAAGCGAAACCTGCACCACGCCCAGTTGACCATTGACCTCTACTTTGATATGATGTGGACGCAGCGAGATGTTTTAATTACACTTTATGTATTTTTCAACAGTTATGAAACGATTGATAGACTTATATGAATTAAACGGCCAGATGAAAGTGAGACAAGGGTTGTAATATTGAAGGAAACCGGAATACTCTGACAAAAGGCCATATGCTCGAACCCCTTCCGAGTGTGTAAGGCAATGTGCATTGGAGTGTAAGTCCGTAACATTTTGCTTTCCCGCGGAATAAGCTCGATTTAAACGATCGGTGAAATGTTTACTATGACAAACGTTGGTTTATTCAGGATATTTGGCCTGTCAATACCCTCGATGCAGCACCATTCAATATATGTTCCCTGTGCCCTACCTAATGAGCGTCAATTAGTGGACGGCAACGGAAGCCAACATTTACCGTACGTGTGATAATGAACGTGCCAATACTCCTATATATAGCCAATGGGAGTCCCCCGAAACCTTGGTAAAAAGAAATCCAAATGAATAACCGTTTTTACCGGAAATTAGTATGATTTCCAATAATGTATAGTTTAATTATGGGAGTTGTTGATGATACAATTAGTAGAAGTGGTTGTACGATCACCCCCTGAAATTAACATGTATTTGTCACCGTTTATATATATATTAGTTAATAACGTTCATAACCAAACAGTTTCGACAATTCACTCAGTGTACATTATTTCTCAAAAAAACACATAATATCTGGAGGGGCAAATAAACACTAAGGTAGGGAAGACAGACCACGAGTTCCTATATTACATTAATGATGAGATTAAAAACAACACGTGGGTTACATGTTCACATACAAATTCATGTAGTCATTATATATATCTATAGAAATAGAAATATATCACGCACACCTTGTAACTCTCAAACATATCACATAAACCTACATACATAACACACAAACATTCAAATCAAGGTAATAGACTTGGTCTCGGGGAATCAGAAACTTGCTCCTCAAGTCATACTTAACGATACAATACGCACTGACATTATCAGAGAGAAAGATTTTGATTCCAAGTTTTAATAACCTATAAATAGTCTTATATCTCAACCCTTTCAATATCGTTTGCGCTGTAATGTCCAAAGATCAATAGCAAGTTAATGGGATCAGGTAAGTTGAAACTCCGTCCATCTCTCATCTGATTGGCTGTGTCTTATCTGTGAGGAAATTACGGAAATCACCGAGGGAGTTAGTATACAGGGGTGCTTTAGTTTTCGAACTAAGACACTACTGATTATGGACTTACTCGTTAAATTAGTTATATTGCCGTTTTTGTCGTGACTTTGTCGGCCAGGCAGTTTTAGCCAGCCGTATTAGTCCAAAACCTAAAACATCTATCGTAGTACTCTTTTGGACAGATTATGTAACCTCCTCACAGAGATGACGAAGTTAATCATGGTGGTGAATAGTAGACGGAGCTGGCACAAACCTGTGACACCTCTAGCCTGTTATCAATCGGGAGACAATCGCAAACGATGTAGGAGGTGATGGCTATTTCAAAACATAAACGTAAACAATGATATGTGTAAAATATAGAAACTGAACATTGAATATTAAGATCTGATGAACTGAAACATTATAGTTATACTTAGAACAATTACCCAAAGCTACCCGTGCTTCATATAATGAAGCGGTTACATGATGGGATTTCGGGGTTCGACCAGATGGTTTTTGGGAGTCTGATTTCAACAATTTATTAGTCATTCTTTTATATACCTTCCAAGTAATAAATTAAAATAAATAATGCCTCATTCTGAAAAAGAAATTATGTACCTTTCTTGAGAAGGTTTCGTCTGTGAGGCTCCGAAAGGGAGCAATTCCATCGCTCGTTCTGAAACTGAAACTGACACTCCATCACAGATAGTTCAATGGCGTCGAGTAACGTCCGAGCCACGCCACGCCCTCGTCGGCACATACGTTTTTGTTTTTTGTGCAAGTTCATCATTTCACACAATTTGTTCGAAGAAATCCCTCTGTTGCCCCGGCCGTCGTCGATGTAGTTGTCCTCGAAGTTATAACTGTGAGATAGCATGGGGTCCCAGGCAGTCAACCTGTGTGAGACAAACGAGCAGAAGTCGATCGTTAGTGGGGGTGATCAGAGGGGATCAAAGGACTGCTCTTACACCTTCATCGATCAAAATAGGAAACAATACGTTGAGATTGGGCCCACTAAAACTTTTGTGTTTGTCGGTAGCTTAGCTTTTTCATGTTAGAGTCAATAATAGTGGTTAGGTACATATAGATAAAGTTAATGCTATAATGTGTTATATAGCCATTGTGTTTACTATTACAACTCTATAAAGCATTCTTATTGAAATCGACTCTAGGATATTGGAATGTTTCTTGAATGTTAAATAGGACTCAACACAGTGCTTCTCCTGTAGCAAGTTTTGTTTTTATCATAAGAATTTATTAACGATCAAAAACAAGTTTTTATTTAAATATATATAGATATATCCTCTTCCCCTTGAACAAATACTTAAATAAGTTAAAAACGTACCCAAAATTCGTTCTACCCCTCGCAACGTTCGCATGTTGACTTACAAAACTGAAATATATGGAATATATAATGATAAATAGTTTAATAATCTTAAATCGATTATACAGTTATGGATATTTTTAGTGTAAGTAGGAAAGAATTAGTAAACTTACTTTAATATACGTGATATGTGTGTCGTATAAAGCTTGGTTATGAAATCAAATAAAATGTCGTGAAAATGTCGATATTGCTGGTGAAATTTTCTCTGGAAAATACATGTGACCACATATATTGTTTGGTCATCAAATTCCCCTGAACACAGAACGACGAATGTCACTTTAAAACATAAACTTGGTCGTCGTAATAGTGAGAACAATATACTAAGGTTGTTAATAGAAAGTTAGGACACAGGACACAGGACACAGGGGACAGGACACAGGGGACAAGACACATGACACATGACACAGGACACGGGACATAGGACACAGGACACAGGACATAGGACATAGGACATAGGACACAGGGGACAGGACACAGGACATAGGACACAGGGGACAGGACACGGGACACAGGACATAGGACACAGGGGACAGGACACAGGACATAGTACACAGGACACAGGACACAGGACATAGGACACAGGGGACAGGACACAGGACATAGTACATAGGACATAGGGGACAGGACACAGGACACAGGACATAGGACACAGGGGACAGGACACAGGACATAGGACACAGGGGACAGGACACAGGACATAGTACACATGACACAGGACACGGGACACAGGACATAGGACACATGACACGGGACACAGGACATAGGACATAGGACACATGACACGGGACATAGGCCATAGGACATAGGACACATGACACGGGACACATGACACAGGACATAGGACACATGACACATGACACGGGACACAGGACATAGGACATAGGACACAGGACATAGGACATAGGACACAGGACACAGGACACACGACATAGTACACATGACACGGGACACAGGACACATGACACGGGACACAGGACACATGACAAAGGACATAGGACACAGGACATAGGACATGGGACACAGGACACAGGACACAGGACATAGGACACAGGACACATGACACAGGACACAGGACACATGACACGGACACAGGACACAGGGGACAGGACACACCCCGATTTATAATTCCGCATATAAATCGCCTCGTACGATTCTTACTCCCAAAGCAGTATATTCTTCAGGGTCTTAAGAATTAAATTGCCAAATTAGTCGCCTCCGACAAAGGATTCTACAAAGACACACATCAGTGGCCTTATATGATTCTACAAGGACACACTTCATTGGCCTTATATGATTCTACAAGGACACACATCAATGGCCTTATATGATTCTACAAGGACACATATCATTGGCCTTATAGGATTCTACATTGACACATATCAGTGGCCTTATAGGATTCTACAAGGACACACATCATTGGCCTTATAGGATTCTACAAGGACACATATCAGTGGCGTAATAGGATTCTACAAGGACACATATCAGTGACCTTATAGGATTCTACAAGGACACACATCAGTGGCCTTAGAGTATTCTACAAGAACACATATCAGTGGCCTTAGAGGAATCTACAAGAACACATATCAGTGGCCTTAGAGGATTCTAAGAGGACACACACCAGTGGTCTTATAAGATTTTAAAGGTTCACATTTACAAGCTGATGTAAAGTGATTTTTACTTGATTGCTATATTACATATATTGACCACATGCTTGTTTACAATATGTCAGAGGTGGACATTGTATCTGTATGTGGTGGTTTACACATGTCAGCAGTCGGCTGATTGACCTGTTAGTGGTTTAGGACACCGGTAAATCATACAGGATGGCAGCATAACTGCCTGTCATATGTCGCTACCTAACAGATGAGGATGCAGTTCGCTATATCACATCACGAATGTTTGGAATGGGGATGTTTGTATTTACCTGTACGGTACAGGTACACAACAGGAAGGAGAAATACAAGTATGACATAACAAGAGGCATTAGTACAGTCAATTAGCAGGTGTCACCCTACAGGTAGGGGTTCTGAGGTTGACACATGAAGAATGAGACGTACGCATGAAGTTAACTCTTTAGAAAGGCTCGTAATAGTTACACAGAAAATGGTTTTTAAGAAGAATCGGTAAATGTGGTTAATAAATGCTACAAATTACATCTCATCATCCTAAACAAGAGTCCGGTGTGCTTAACTAAGATGATTAAGCAGGGAGTTTTTTGGCAATCTTTATGTTTTATTAATGAATAATTGTCCAATCTATGATACCTAGTTTTCAAAATATGAAAAGCGAAAATATGTTTAATAAACCCGGAGAAATGTGAGGAATGTAATCAGATAATACGTAATGTATGGCATATATCAGAGTAGGGGAACATTTATGTGGAAAGTATCCCTGATAAAAACTGATAAAATTGATTGTTTAATTCCTAACGTGATATGAAATTACAAATCAAAATGACTGGAACACTTCGAAATACATAAAAACGTCACACAGAAGTCTCGGGAGAGAGACCCATAGGAGTTATGCGTAATTTACTGTACAAAGAAACAAAGGTCGACCAATGTAGGTGTCAAATGAGAGGTTTTACGTTGTTGTTTAAGGAGTTTAGTCACAGAAAAACGGCAAGGCAACCCTAACATCTACATGCAGTAGTGCTTTTGAAGAATAATTTTTTATTTTCACTTCAAAGCTCCGAGCTTCATTTAACGACCCAAGAATAGAAAAAACGTTGCCATTCACATAAAATACGTTGTCTTGTTTTATGAATGTTTACTGAGAAAAAATCATAGGGTATCTCCTTTAATTGTCCGTTAACTAAATTTGATCCCGTCGGTATGTATATTATGTGTTGCCTTTCAGAAGTACCTTTAAGTAAACCTTTAAGTAAATACTAAATATTGACCAGGTATTTTTTACGGTTACTAGGATAAATAAATACAAACTACAATAGATGTATTTTGTTTGGTGATGTACGACACAATCTTATCACTTGTATCGCTCTTATACGTTTGCGTAAAGTTTCAAATCGTAACTCCTTTTTGTAAGATTGGTGAAGCTATCTGATAAATCCTTTCCGGCCCTGAACATATTAATGCAACAATGGGCTAAACGGTAGGTGTAGGAGAAAACAGAGAAACTGTGTAAAAGAGTGAGATTCCAACTTAGATCGGGACATGTTCGCCATATCTTAGCTTTAGTGAACTTCACCCTCCGTATCGAAGGTGGTCACGCCTTTCTATATTGATATCTCATATCGACAGTGAAGGACAAAGTTAAAATGGGTCGAATCTGATTTTACCATTGATGAGCAAATATATATCAAACCTAAGCTGGCACCCGATCATGTTTGAGGCTTTGAGGTATCCTTCAAGCTGGTATGTCGTGTACAGTATTGTTTTAAAATCATTAGAAAGAAACAAACATGTCGCGAGAAACAATACCTCATATGACAGGCGGCATGTATCCTATTAGCGACACCCTGTCTAAAACTATCATATGTCTGTAACTACTTGCTGTAAATAATTCTATAAATGAGTCTTTCTTGACATCGGTAATTTTCCTTTCACTTCCAATTGTCTATTGAGAGTGTTTTCATTATTCAGGTACCTCCGTAGACAGCTTTGTTGTACGTGTTATACCCAACCCTCCCGTATTAGTTGTTACACGCTGTAGTCTGTATAACATATCCTCACATTTACTGCCACGATAATTATCGTCTGTTGTATAGATATACAAGGTTTATTGATTGTTTTCCTTTCCGAGAGATCTAGGTTACTTTAGCATTCAATGTTAATTACGGAATCATGTCATATTTAATGGTATAGAAATGGGGATTTCAAGGTTAATGCAATGTAGTACATGTTTGTGTATTGATAGGCAATAAAATAAAGTAAATATTTGTTTATTGTGTGTTGACGTCACATACTATAGTTTATATGTTATGACGTAATGGTATCATGTTAATATTTTGAGGTAGTGTACTGTAATTTTGTTTGTGTATTGTGAGGTTATGTATGCAATATTTATGTGGAATTGTAGGTTGATATGTAATATTACAAGATTATGTATTGTGAGGTAATGTAATGTAGCTATTGTATATCTGTATCATGGGGCTATGTATGAAATATTTATGTACTGTGGGTTGATATGTTATATTACAAAATTATGCATTGCGAGGTAATTAAATGTTACAATCCTTGTGTATAGTGAGTTAATGTAGAACTATTTGTGTAATGTGATGCAGTAAATGTTTGTGTACTGTGACGTAGTAAATGTTTGTGAACTGTGAGGTAGTAAATGTGTGTGTACTGTGATGTAGTAAATGTATGTGTACTGTGCCGTAGTAAATGTGTGTGTGCTGTGAGGTAGTTAATGTGTGTGTTCTGTGATGTAGTAAATGTGTGTGTACTGTGATGTAGTAAATGTATGTGTACTGTGCCGTAGTAAATGTGTGTGTGCTGTGAGGTAGTTAATGTGTGTGTTCTGTGATGTAGTAAATGTGTGTGTACTGTG